CAAGAGAGTGAGTCAGTGGAAGTTGGACGATAAACAAGAATTATTCTGATAGATCAACGGTGAGATGTTCGTATAAACGGCGTTACCGAACTGACTAGCATAAGGCGCATATGCCGCAGCAGGCGGATTGTTGGACACGAATAAACGGAAACGAGCAGAATGGGATCGAATGGAACAGAGCAGAAAATGTCAAAGATTATAGAAATAGACATTTCACTTTGTAAAGCAGAGCAGTTCCGCATGAGCTTCTTCAACCGATTCGGGGGCTCCGATCATCAATGGGATTGAATTGGATTATTTAAGTTATTTAGGCGTTGGTCGCTTTGATGTGGGACTGACTACACGCTAGGCACCCAACCTTAAAACACCTATTTGGTGAGGCAGGGGGTGCGTTCCTCAACCTGGTCCAATGTACGTCAACCAATTCGCACTTGAGTGACGCGTAGCTGAATCGATACGAATCCCGAAGTAAAAACACAATTGATCCGCAATGTTCCTACTGAATTAACGAAATTATTACAATGTGTACAATAAAGCAAACCTCAAATATGCGGTCAGTGAATTAACGAAATTATTACAATGTGTACAATAAAGCAAACCTCAAATATGCGGCCGAGAACCGAACCGATACGAATCCAGAATTAAAAACACAATTGATCCGCAATGTTCTACGGTATTGTATTAACGAAATCATTACAAATGTACAATAAAGCAAACCTCAAATATGCGGCCAAAAGCACCAACGAAATTATTACAATGTGTACAATAAAGCAAACCTCAAATATGCGGCCGAAAGCACTCGAACAAATCTATTACAGAATGTACAATAAAGACCTCAAATATGCGGCCAAAAGCACTCAAGCAAGCGAGCCAAATATGATATCCAGATAGAGCCAAATCAAATATGCGGCCAAAAGCACTCAAACAAGCGAGCCAAATAAGATGTCCAGAGAGAGGTTAACAGTCGCTCCCGTTCTCAAACCACGCGAACTCCAAATGTGCCGGGCATCCAAATTACAGATAAATAATGATTTATGGTGTTTGTGATCGAGAAATGTCAATATAAGAGTAACACAGAGATAAAGCTATTTCACCATAAATC